GCTGATTTTTAGCTCCCACAGAGCTCTCAACTCCAGGTTAGATGCGAGGCCCTTATGTGCCCAGACATAAGGTGATGTTCGTTGACAGCTTCTGGGACGGCTGTGGCTTCCTGCTGGGCTCCTGTGGAATGGGCTGCCTTGAATTGTGGCAGATTTCTTGCCTCTGTGCAAGGCTGTGGTTCGTGCTGCCCAGTTCATTCTTGCAGGGATTTGAAACACATTGTTGCCTGCCTAAAAACTGTTAGAACAGCACCATTCATTGTGGTGTGGTGCCATGTCCTGAACCAGTTGGATCAATGCTTAGGATGTAACATAAAACATGCGTGCACTGTCTAGGGCAGCAGTGAGGTGATTGCAGACTAGTAAAGAACTTATTTCTACTTTCATTAAGTCTTGTGGCTAAATGTAATCGGACTTCAACTGGACGAGTGGGGTTTTCTTCTAAATGGAATGGGGTTTTCTTGGTAGAGGTTTTTGATTTTGATGTTTTTTTTTAAATGAAAAAAACCACTCAAGAAGGAAGAGCCGAGGGTCACCCCATGCACACGTCCATGGAAGCAGCTTCAATACAGATATACAAATGAGAAGGGCGACGGGGGGTAACTGCAAAAGCAAACTTAAATCAAACTTGAATGTTGATTTATTAGTGTCAAACTATTTATTGCAACATGGAAAGGGCAAAACATGTAAAACCATAAAATCAGTCATTAGGTAAATACCAGTATAGGTTCAGTGATTTTAAGAGAGCTTTGTTAGTGTACACCAAATGAGTATTGTGGCCTTATGTTCAAATTTTTCTCATGCAAAGATCTTTTTTCATGTCACCAGAAGTATGGAAAAGGTGTAAATGGAAGATAATTGGCCTTTCCACAACAGAAAGCACTGAAATTTTCCAGGATGATTTTTCTACAAAGTTATAAATAATTGGATTACTAGTTCAATAGTATAGCATAAAATGTTATCTGTGCTGCTGTAAAACGCCTGTGTCTCCAAGTTCCTAAAAGACAGTCTACGTGCCTACTTTAAGAAAAAGTAAACAAAGAATGTGAAAAAAAAATTAACTTGGCAATGAGTCAAGCCTTGTTAAGATATGTGGCAGGAAAGTGGACACAAAATTGGAGGGAGAAGAAAGTAAAGAATATAATTAAAGTGTTATTTTCTCCTCTTTCCAGTTACCTGTCGTCTTTTGTTATTCATATACACTTGTTGAACTCGCATGTAAATGATTGATTGACTCAGTGAACTCATTGTAATAAATTATGTTTGATGTGCTATCTTGAAAAAAATCTTTTGAAATTCTGTCTCCTTTCTTTGTCTGCTCACCTTGTGGCTTTTAATATCTTGTTTCCCATCTGTCTGATTCCATCATAAACTGAGCATAACTTTTCAGACCTTAATGCAGCTCTCTTTTTGTTCTGCTTTAAGTATGCAACGCAAATATGTGATTTGGCCGTCAACAGTAATATCAAAGAGGAATGTTGAAGTGCGTGTTCTCTTTATTGGTGTGAAATAAAGAAACGCCTACCTGTAGATACTTGATAATACGTATTTACAGCGCATAGATGTCTCTGCAAGCAAATTAATACAGAGGTGTCTGTATCATTGTATTACATCTGCTTTAATGTTACAATTCCAAAGGTTACTTTCAAGGAATAGTTCTTAATGAAAGATGAAAAGAAATGGGTCTATAAGGTTTCAGGAAAGCAGTTTAAAATATAGATTTAAAAATACTTAACTGAATATGTAATACAGATGTACCCAAACTTCAGTTTGAGAGATTGATTGTACTACAGATATTCCGACTTCAAGAAGTGTCTCTAGCAGTGAGGTCCTAACTGAGTCTTGAATTACAGGGGAATTTGGAGAAATAGGCTTATTTTGTTAAAAACATTTTTTCTAGGGGATATAATGTCATAGAAGTGTTTAGTTGGGGTACCTTTTTTTTAATGCTTAACAACTGTAAGGTATAGGTAGATAAATTCTTTGTGTTCTTTATTAAGGGCATAAAATGTATATGCGGAAAGCTTTTTTTGATAATGTCTTTTTATTGAGAGTAAATCTTTGGAGAGAGGAGAGAGAATGAACTGAGCCAGGAAGAGAGGAAAGGGAAAAGCATGGTAGTCTTAGGACTGTCTATAACAGTTTCATGGGACAGTAGAAATGGAATTATCCTTTAAGTCTGCTGAATTTGTCAGAGATTTATTATGAAAGGGGCAAAAGGCCGCAGACTTCACTCAATTAAGTGTGTTTATACATAAAACACAAAGAACTGAAATACTTACTTTGATGTGGTCAATATAAGTATATTTGTATGATGATGATACTACGACTATTAATTCTTTTTGGTTGGCTGATTTGACTATGAACAACGCATCTGATTCAGAGAAGGAAATCAAAGGGTACCAAAACCCTTTTTCATTCATGATTTATTGAAAAAACTATAAGAAGTAAACCAGTCTCAGCATGATACGTAGGCATATGCATTCAAGTGATTGGTACATTGACTGAAATGAAATTATTCTTCAGGCTAAGTATCATGTTGAACTGAGGCCTTGATGTAGTCTAAGCAACTTTTAGTTCCAAAATTGCTGTCTTTAAGTTTCTGACTTCCCTGGCATTTGCTGTCTATTGCTACTGAAACAAGTCTTTAAGCAGAAACTTTGATGGTGTAATTCCAGTATCTAGTGAGTATTACGTTTTAAATTTTTTTTTTCCTATTGTACCTGAACGAGTGCTTTGGAGAAATCTAGATGTGTGTGTTTTCCACCATTGAAAGAATTATATTCATCTCAATTCATCTCATCGAGAAAGCTGAAGCAATTTGCAACACTGTTAAGAAGATTTTTTTAAGGATAGACATCTTCTTGTGAAACTTCTTGTGAAGAATTTTGTTTATAAAACTCATAGCTCTATTTCTGCAGCATAGAATATAAACTAATGAAGTTAAATCTTGGCTCCATTATATTCAATATAAATATTTTCGGATTTCTCTTTCACTAGTTTTAATTCACTATGTCCTTACCAGACTTAAGTTTGGTATAGCATTTCTTTGCAGAAGTGTGAAAAGTTAAATGCATGTATCACAGAAGGCATTCTTGTGTCTTTAAAAGTAAAAGCTCATTGTAGTGCATGCACCTCACCTGTCAGTTAAATTTGTGTGGAATACAGCAGCTATGTAGTACTACACACAAATACAGAAGTGTATCTTATGATGAATATTTCATCATCATTGTATAGCCATTTGGTGTTGGTAGAAAAAATATCTCTATGAAGTGTGATCCCAAATTGAAAACTGACAGGAACGGTGGGTCTAGGCTATGTATTATTAACAAATAACACCCTTTTGTGACTCATTAAACTCTCTCTGTAATAATGGTGCATTTCATTCTGTGTTGCTCAGGAAAGTTGCAAACAGAAGAAAAAGTTCTTTCTACGTACTCCCAGATCCATTTCTTTAATTGCTGAGATTTTCTTGGGGACTGAAGGACAAACTAGACATTGTTCAACATTTTAGCTGAGTGAAGTGACACAGGGCTATAATAAGCTGCAGCTGAAATCCAACTACAAAGAGTTTTCCAACAGTACTCAGCAATAAGGCATTATATTTGTAGTTAGTATATATGGATGTAGTTTTTGGCAGCAGTTAAATTCTTATTTGCTGTATATTATCCTAAGTTTTCTGCTGGACTAAATCACTGTATCCATGATTTACAGTTAAATATTTGCTTTAAATGTGAGTGTGACACATTTACACTGCCTTTTCAGCATATATGGAGAAAGGAGAAGAAAAGGAAATGGCATTCTTTTTCTAGAAGTTCTGATATCATTCACGTATTGGAATGTCAGTGGTGGACTCTGAATTAATTACTGCATGTTTTGATGTAGATTAGACTGATTAGTAGGCGCAGAACAGTGTAAACACTTGGATCATCATAGCAAGTTTCTTCCATCTAGGGGAAAAATATGAGGAAATTAATATTTTTGGAAAAAAATGGTCACATGGCCTATCGTTTAGGTGAGTAGTTGCACTTACTGGCACAACTAGTTAACAGCATAAAACAAACGTATTGTGTCTGGTGAATTAGTGATAACTTTGCATGCGAACTGCAGTGCTTTATTGCATTACTTTGGCTTCAGAGATAGCCACACACAGTATTCTCTTGAAGAAATAAGAGTAAAGAAACTGCCATTGCTTTTAACAGAACCACTGATTTTCATGCATTACTGCATCATGAATGTTCACTTCTTTTTCCTAAGACATATTCGTGCTTACAAAGTATGTATTTATCCCCTCAAATTATGGTTACTAACTTAACGTGCCATATTTTTCAGAAAATTAATCTTTTTCCAGTTTTGTCTGTCTGACTAATAACTTGATAAATCTCTCCTTATCTTCTAATGGCAGATGATTTATCAAGGCCTACCACTTAATTAATATTACAGAGCATGTGGGGAACTGAAGAATTCAGAAGTATTTTCCATAGCTTGGACATGTAAAACGAGAAGCATAGGAGAAAACAGAAAGATAATCTTGTAACTGAGAAAAAGCCTTTGTGATTTAAGCATGGGATTGAGGTTCAGGAAATGGTGAGTTCTATCCCACAAATCCATCATGCTTCCCACTAGACTTTGGACAAGACAGTGATTTTTTTTTTCTTTTTTTTCTTCGCTGCAGTTGACCATTCTGCAAAATATTTATGGCCATACTGTCTTGTCTCCTAGGATAGTTTAATGCTAGATTTATCTAACATTACTGGTGTTATAGGACACGTATTATTTTTTGAGTTTATTGAGTTGTATACAAGCACTTCTATGATGCAGATGTAGCCTGATTTTTTCCTATTAAAAAAGTGTGCATAATTTATAATATGTAAAGCATATTTGTGACCTAAATACTTAAACTTATGTATCTGAAGCACATATAAATAGATAGAAATCTCAGAGAAGTTGTCAGTGAAGTTTCAGCTTTCCTGAATACTTTACCTTTTCTCCATTTCCAGGTTGCATGTCTCACTCATGTAGCAGCTAATTACCTTAATTGCAAAATTGAAGCAAAGCGCTGGGGTACTGCTCATGGGAGTATTGTTCCATATCAGGTAAGCAGAAAGCATTAGTTTTTTTTTTTTTTTTCTCTTGGAATTCATGATTTTGTGTATTAAGAGATTGAGAACTGCCTGACGTTTCCCATGACCTGCTGTAGTCTGTAATGTGTCTGTGTCTAGGTAGGACAAGGTTCTGTTGTTCATTGTAATTTCTGTATTTCACATATTTCTTCATCAGCAGTAACTTAGTAACAGAACACTGAAATAGATCAAAGGTGTTTGCTGAAATTGGATGACTTTAAAGCTATGATGATGACTTGGTTGGTTTTCACCTCACAGAGAAACTTTTTATTTTTTTGAGGGTTACCTGACTTCCATACCAGCTATAAACTGAAATCTTTTGCCTCTGAATCTTGGTATTTTTGTTTTGTGAGTCTACAGGAACAATCTAAATGGCCAAGAAAATCTGGGAGTTCTACATAGTTGTCATTTTCTATTGATTTTGCTACAAATCACTGTGGCTTAGTGAGACAACAGGTTGGCAAAAGGTCTGTCAAAACCAGACCTCACGTCTCCGCAGTGGAACTCAGTCTGCTACATCTAATGAAGGGTTGAAATTCCTTGAAATAACACGGACATCATCATATAAACAAGCACAGAAAAAAAAAAATTACTGCAAGTTTTATCTTTCTTCTGGCTAGTATGGGAAACTCTTCCAGTAAACAAAGCCAATTTTGTTCTTTTCAAGCTGATCATTTTGTGTTCTTGGTGGAAATCATGCTAACTTATGAAGACTTGGGCATATGTTTAATTTAAACAATCTTTTCTTTATTTCATAATTTTTGGCACTTAATCAAACAATCATGTTTGCAACTACCTAGGCAGAGCCTGGATTTCTTGAAATTAAGAAATTAAGAAACTTGGAAATGGCCGGGTTCCTTTAAATCCAGAGAGGGACAGTTCCTCTGAGAGAACTGCACCTAGACACCACTCAGTTTCTTTACCACCTCCTTTCTTTTTAGAGAAAGTGAGGGAAATTCGAGGTACTGTTGTCTTCCCAGTGGTGAAGATGGTGGTGATCATAACATTGAAAGATTTGCTGCTTTTTGCAACAGCAAAATCAGTTGTTTTTGTAAGAGCTACGTCTGCTAAGCTAGGAGACTTTTCCCAATACATACTGCTGTATAGTCAACTGTCTTGTTATGAATTGGCTAGAACGGATTGCCAACTATCTCAGGCCGATAGGGAGATGTTGCAGCTCTTTCTACAAGAATGAGTTTGGTCCTGTAGTATTCTCGTTTCAGGTGTAGTGCAGCACAGCTACAGATGTGCCATGCTCTGGTTGGCAAGGTGTAGCGGTGTGGCTGTGTTTTCTAGAACCGGCTCTGCATGACTCAATGTAACCAGGCATCCGCTACACAAGTAATTACATTCTGCTGTGTTTCTGTGATGTGACCTTCTGGTGCAACCCTTTTTGAACTTTGGTATGCTGAAAGTATAAAACAGATCTGAAGTGTCTGAGGTTTGTATAAGCAAACCCAAAAACCTGACTAAACAAAACATTTTATCTTTCACCATACTGCATTTGTGTGATTAACTGAAACATGCGTTCTTTTATGTCCGTTTGCGTTTGTTTTTCCACAGTCAAAATGAAAAAAAAAAAAAAGCATACATTGAGTTTCCTTTGTTTCTTTTTTTATAGACAGCTCTCTAGATATACAAAATTTGAGGAGATTGTTTTAGCTATCTTCTGGTTTAATCTAGATTAGTCAATATGTAAATAACTATTTTTTTAAAAAAATCTTATCTAAACTATGGTTCCTGTGTTTCTGTATGCTGTTTCTGTAGTAGATATTAGAAATATTACCTCAGTATTATAAACAATTTTAATCTGAATTTTCTTGTTCATAAACTAGTAATTAGGATGAATTTACTGTGGGTGGAGTTGTATGTCTGTGTGTTTATGGCTCATCTGTTAACATTCCATCAGCTAGCATGGTTATAATTCTGATTATAACTGTAAGTATATTATGCTTTCTAGAGTTTATTTTTTGCTTTACTAACACAAGCTATACTTAGACTGCAAAGCTCTTCAGAAACTTGAATTAACCCTCACTGTTGCTTTTATAGTTGCTTCCATAGCTCATTTGTAATATAGTTTAGAACAGAACTCTGAAACCTGACTTTCATCCCTCATCCTAGTTATTGAATATAATGTCTTTTGGTTACTAAACTAATATGTGACTATCACAGTGGTAATTTTTACAAATAATTTCTTTTGTTTCAAAGAAGCTTGGTGTACAAAGACTTTCATACTCTTTTAAGGTTTTCCTCATTTGCTGATAATGTGCTGACTTTGTGGCATGATCATCTGAAATGTCTGGGTTTTCAGTTCTGTGTGCTCATCACCAGAACCCAGAGGAAAGGATTTGAACTGCTTTTGTGTGTTCAATGTGTTTCAGTGTTCCTGTAAAGCTGTCTGTAAAGGTTTACCATAGGTTTTCAATGGAGGTGAACTTTGCAATGTGCCACAAAGATGAAGAACTCTAGATTCTAATCAACCAAAATCAGAAGTACTTTTTTGAGTGCTGAACCTTTCATGGGAAATTACCTACTTTGAGCATATCTGCTTTTTAATCAGTGATGCAGTTTGAATAGGTCATTCCTGTGACATCTCATCGGATCCCAATTTCTCGGTTTCAGGTGTTAAAACACAAACCTTAAGTTCTGGGCTGTATCTTAAATGTAATTAGTGCAATTTTTTTAAACAAGCTTCTATAATGAGACACCTTGTTTAGTTACAGCTGCTCCATGATTATCCAGAGGAAATCAGGGGCTTAAAAGCATCCGGTTTACATAATTGTGCTGAAAAGCAAAGTTGTATTACTGTCTTTCATTTGGAGTGATAAGGTCTTCCCTCGTTCTTGTGGACTCAGCAGTGTAGCTATCTTGCCTGTACCATGTGTGGTAGATCTAGACATTCACTTTTTCACCTTCCAATTGGCCCACTCAGAATGGATATTCATTCTCCTGAGAAAGTCTATTGTAACCTGTGTGTTTACAGGGAGTTTCCTTCTCACCTTGCCATCAGATGCCCGGACAACTGGGCAGCACTTTCAGAGGCAAGCTTTCATCAAAAGGTATAGAGCTGTTTTCTGTCAGGCCATGATGATGAAAGTCTCTTTAAAAACTGAGAAACCAAGCTCTTAAAGGTATTCCCTCCCCACCCCCGAAGATCATATTATTTCTGTTCCAGATTTGGTCCTAAGACTTCACAGGGTCTTCTCAAATATATTTCAATATATTTTCAGAATATGCAAAAGGCACAACCATTCTGTACAAAAGTTGAATCCACAGGACAGGAAAGAAATTTTACTCAATTATCTTTTCTGTTGATTGACCTGTGCATTGTCATAACTCATCAGACTCAACATTAATATTTTTTATGTTAGAGCATCACTTAGATTCTTTAAGCATCAACAACTTCTTGTGCTAGGCATAAAATTTCCTTCATATGAGGAAACTGTCTGTCTGCCAAAGGCCTTGCAGTTGAAATGTGTTATGAAAACCAAAGTATAAGCTCACAAGGAAGTGAAAGGTATGAGGTAGCAGGAAGATTTTACCTAGTAGCATCTACATTGCATACTTTTTGCTTGTGGAATTTCATCCTGTCCAGGAGTCTTAGAAAATCCTGCTCATGTTGCTTGTGTCTCATCACTGGAACAGAGAAATACAGTAAGTTCGTTCTTACCTGATTCATCTGGCAGAGATGCTTTTCATACAGAGGCACAATGTGCACCAACTTTCCTAACTCAGCTCTGGAGAATCTCACAGAACTTTTCATTACTCTTTCTTTTTCTTTTTTCTTTTTTCTTTTTTTTTTTTCTTCCAGTGGAAAGAAACAGAATAATATCAATCGTTCAGAAACTTCAAACTGCTTATTCCACACAAGAATTGTGATGTGTAGTCATTTTCTTTTCTGTCGTTATGTGGTTTTATTGGGATACTTCTGCAGTTAATGTGTCTTGGAAAAAAAATCAACAAAGACTAGAACTTGGATTGTTTGCAAAGTTTTCTTTTGTGCATGAAACTCTCCTTCTTAAAAAAGTCCAAAATGGATGTTATGGAAGAAAATCTTTGTGCTCTGTAATGGCTCAATCTAGGAGAAGATGGAACTTATGCATAGGAAAGAAATACAATACAGGGTTTTTGGGAAGAGTTCTAGATTCAGGAAATGCAAGATGACCCTTTTTAGTCTGTGAAAGTCATCTACACAATACTCACCTGGACTATTTAGACTCCCCTGGGAGTCCATTGTCCTATACTGTTGTTCTGAGCAATGAAATATCACTGCTGGAAATATTGCCCATTTGACATGAAAATTAAATGTATTCGCAGATGGACTGTATAGCAGCTTTGTGCTTTCGAGCAGCAAAATGTGTGCTCTCACACTGTATGGTTTCAATTTCCACAGAACAGTTTGGCCATCCTCAAGATGCATGTTTTGACTCATATGATGAATACCCAAATTCCTAGATACTTCAGTGGCCTAGTGTATCTCCTTGAACTACTTACCTACAGGTTTGTTTTTTTAATTAGCTACTTCCTTTCTATCTTTATCTTACAAGGCACAGGAAAGAGAGAAGCCAGAAAGGCCTGTGTCATCCTGGATTCTGGAAAACAAGGATATCATTTGTGGGTTATTTTTTCTTTCTTTCTTTTTGGACAAGTTTCCACTTCTAGATTTCCTTACTAGACTCTTCAGAAGCATCTTACTGTGGTATGACTAGATTAACTACTGACTGCACAAATGCTTTGGTGTTATTGTGATTATAAGGGATGACAGTTAGTGCTCTGCTTGGTGAAGTGCTGGAGTAGGGGTTCTTGCCATTTTAGTCAATGAAAAGGTATACTAATCATCTGTGTGAATCTGTGTGGAAAGCTGCCCCTTTTTGAGGAATAAATTCTAGTTATTCAAACCTGACAACATTATATTGATACCTTTCTGATGATCATTCTTCAGCAAGTTGTCAAGCCTCTCTCCTGGGCAGAGC